CCGCTTCGCGCCTTTCATTGATTGGGCGAGTATGAATCGGGCGCGAAACGGAGGCAACACAATAAAGAGGATGGGCAGACAGTCTGCCGGCGCCCTCTTCGCGAATCGATAGTGAGCGGGCCCCTGCCCGATCAATATCGAGTCGCTCACACATAACATACCAAAATGAGATACATCGGGACCACTTCAAAAATAAGGCACGGTATACGGTTATCAAGGCAGGATAACAAGGATATGATATCATGGCAGGACAACAACATATGATACGAGTTCAAATACACGCTAAACATGGCAGAAAGCAAATACATAACACGAGTGTAAATACATACTAGAATACATACAAATGTTCTTACACTCAACATGCTCCCCCTCCCCCTAGCAAGCTGTCCCACTCAGCTTACACGTGGCGCCCATGGGGGGGAAACTTGTGCCCTTGTGGTCCACGATAGTAGAAACGACCACGCTTGGGGGGGCCACGCCCCCTCTCTGCGACCTCTCTTTGTCCCTCTTCAGGAAGTCTCCTCTTGAACGGCTCCAGGCTAAGATATGGCACATGAAATTCCAACGTCGCGTTGAAGAACTTCCTCGCACTTGTGCCCGTATAGAACCGGGGCTGTGTGGTAGTCTTGCCCTCGATCGCAAACATCGGATGGCTCTTGTTACTGGCGTCAGCTTTCCGAGGCAACAGAATCTTGATTCGCTGTGCCAAGCTGGGTCTCTGCTCAATGGTCTCCTCCGCAAGATCCCTCAACATATCAACGCCTTTACCCCATTCGAAATCGTCGTGGGGCCCTGGTAACAGTATTAGCTCGGCGCCACGCGCCACCACTCCGAGTATGAGCTCCCATGGTTTCGTCCATGATCGCGTTCCCGCATAATACGTCGAGCTGAAGACTACAATTGCCGACCATTCGCCGAGCAACCACTCCGCCTTGATCGAATGCGGATGAGTATAAGCGTACGCTACTTGATGTTCATTCGTGATATGCTCGACATGAGTGTAGAATCCTTCTGGCAGCAGAATCAACGTCTTCAGACGGGGGAGCTCTCTCCAAAGTCCTTTTCTCCAGGGATGAGCGAAAGACCATTTTTGAGCTTCGTCGAACATCTTTGCCAAATCGAAGGGGTCCTCCGAGTGTCGTGGCGGATGCGCCATCTTTTCCTGTGCCGTATTCGGAGCCAACATACGACGAGAAAACGCCGCCAAGTGAAGGCATTGCGCCCTGAAGAACGAGATCGCGAAACCGAGAGACGTTGGTGACAACGTAATGTATTCCGTATCAGCAATGGAGGCCGTTCGCCATTCCGCAGGTACATGTGTCTGACGCAAAATGGTCACTGCTCGGGCCAACTCAAAAATTGAATGAAAGACCAATTCCGGCAACGGCGGCTCCATGACAATGTTGGACCATTCCACCGCAACGTGGCATGACAGGTACTGCTCTCCATGAGCCATAGCACCAGGGCAGTGATAGTCGATGGTGGAAATGTCGGTGCGCGACGAACGACGAGATCTGAAACATAAATTTTATGAAACCATCTAGAAAACTTTCAGAAAATAAGAAGCGAATCAAAATAAAGAAAACTCTTAGGGGATATGGTGGTGCTTTCTGCATCAGGCTCGTTCATCGGCAGCCCTTCTCCCGCGTTTTGCTCCTCTTCGCTTTTTACTTATCACCGGTAAGTCGCCTATTGAGGCCGGTATCTTAACCATGTGATCAAACGGAACCTGTATCGGCTCCTTATCCGTTCCGATTTCCGTAACCGTGGCTGAATTAGACGTAGCAGCGATGACCCTATAAGGTCCACTCCACGGTACGATCAACTTGGGGTGCTTCGATGCCCCTTTTTCCGTGGGTACGTGAACATACACACGATCCCCTGCCTTGAACTTAGTCGACTTCTCAGTCTTCCAGTGGCGATCGTACCATTCTTTGGCTCTAGCTCGATATTTCTCGCCTTGTTCGACTATGCACTCCCGCGCAAGCTTCAGTCCGCTCAAGAATTCCGTCTTGTACTGGTCATAGTCGAGCATGTACGCTGACAGCTGGTCCCGCGGAATCACCTCTGACGGATAACGCGGATCGTGTCCATACACCAAAAAGTGGGGACTCTCCCCTGTCGCTGAATGAGGCGAAGCATTGTATGCGTACACCACCGTAGGCAAAATCTTGTCCCACTCCGAGGGCACCACCGTTTTCTTCCGCAACATGGACACTATCGTGCCATTTGCTCGCTCGGTTAACCCATTTTCACGAGGACAATAACCCTTCGTGAACAATTGCTTGATGCCCATGATCTCGCATATAGCTGACATAACAGAATTTTCGAATTCTGTGCCGCGGTCCGACAAGATTGCCTCCGGCCATCGTCCGGAACCACATATCCACTGGCTGAATATCACTTCAGCGATAGTCTCAGCACGTTTGTCCGGTACAGGATATGCTCCCAAGTACTTTGTGAAATGATCAATCACTGTAACGATATAACGATTGCCTCTAGTCGTGATTCCCATTTCTAGTAGGTCCACACCCACTATCTCGAACGGTCTTGTCGACACAATCGGTCTCAGCGGAGGCACTTGCCCCGCAGTGTTGTTCGACAGGAAGCAGCGTTGGCACTCGCGCGTCCACTTCACGATGTCCTGACGCATTCCGGGCCAGAAAACGTGTGTCCTCAGCCGCCGGAATATCTTACGCGCGCCAAAATGTGCTGCCATCGTCCCTTGATGCGCTTCCCTAAATAACTCATGGCGCTTGGATCTGGGAATAACGTCTCTCAATCGTTCGTCTGGTCCAATGAGCCTTAACTTGCCATCTTCAATGACAAAGTCTGCCGACGAAAAAGTCTTGTCGTGTCGCGAAAACCGTACGTCTACTCGCTCGTTCGCTTCGACGGCCTCTACCAGCCGCTTGAACTCGGTGTCTTGACGTAGTTCCTCGAGCCATTCTGACTCGCTAATCTTCGAAACCACTCTTTCGTCTTCCGTGTGCGTAGGCTTCACAGTATCTGCCTTCACGATGCCTCGCGACAATGCGTCTGCGACCGCATTAGCCGTTCCTTTGATGTATTCAATCGCTACATCGTACCTCTGAATCTCCAGAGCCCAACGCAGGATACGCGGAGACACATTTGCGCGCTTGAATAGTGTCTTCAACGGTGCGTGATCCGTCCGGACCACTGTCCGTACACCATAGACGAAGTAATGAAACTTTTTCAGCGCATACATAACGGCTAACGCCTCTTGGTCCGTGATATGATAGTTCTTTTCAGCACTCGAGAACGGCTTCGACGCGAAATGGAGCGGATGCAAATATCCGTCGTCGCTTTCTTGTGCCAAGACCGCTCCTACACCAATGCTACTCGCGTCCGTGTAGATGTAAAATGGTCTTTCACCATTCCTAGCCTTCTCAATATCCGGCTGTGCCAGGACCGGAGCTTCTGAGAGAACTTTCTTGAGACCTTCGAACGCTCGCTCCTGCGCATCATCCCAGACAAACGCCTTTTTGGTGCTGGTTAGATCATACAGCGGTTTGGCTATACGCGCAAAATTCAGCACGAATTTCCTGTAATAGCCAGCGAGTCCTAAAAATGTTCTCAACTGGGACACCGTTTGCGGCCTCGGATAATCCACTATACGCTTCACCTTGTCCGGATCGGTATGCACTCCGTGCTCGCTGACTATGTGTCCCAGAAAGTCTATCGTGTTCTCCATTAACCGGCACTTTTGCGGCTTCAGTTTTAGATGCGCCTTTCGGAAGGCCTCGAGAACTTGTGACAGCACTTCATAATGTCTTGACTCGGTCTCAGTGGAAATCAGTATATCATCGATATATACCGCCACTTCCGTGCCCATCAACTTGCCAAGAACATTCTCCATTAGCCTTTGGAATACTGCGGGTGCTGTCGTCAATCCAAACGGTAGAACTCGGAATTGAAAAAGGCCTGACGTAGTTGTAAACGCACTGATTTCCTTAGCTTTGTCCGTCAACGGGACTTGCCAATAACCGCTCGCTAAGTCCAGTGTCGTGAAAAATCTTTTGCCCTTCAAGTTCTGAAGGGTCACATCAATCGCTGGTAGAGGATAGCTATCCTTTTTGGTCACTTTATTAACCTCTCTGTAATCTACGCAGAGACGGATGGTACCATCCTTTTTCGCCACGAGTACGATAGGTGACGCCCACGGTGACTGGCTATCCTCTATGACTTCCCTCATTTTCAAATCCTTCAACATGCGGTCCACTTCCACTCGCATGGCATAAGGGACTGGTCGTGTACGTTGCCGGATAGGTGCGGCATCGCCCACATCGATGTCATGCTTGATCAAATCCGTTTGCGATAATTCCAAATCAGATACCGCAAAGACGTCCTCGTACTCCTCTACGAGCTTGACCAAGCCCTCTGGCATCGCACCGCTTCTCCTATTTTCATCCAGCATCCGCATGAGAAAAGCCCTTCTTTCAGTGTGCGATAAGCGTTCTGATCGATTCAGTTCAAGCATATCGCCTGGAATGTCTTTTGTCCGAGGATCGTACCATGTTTCCGAACTCCATTCGCCGAGAGGTTGTCCCTCGTGGATTACCCACGACTCGCTACCTCTATTTATCACTGATAGTGGTGCTACGTTGTCCGTTATCCGACATACACCGGATGCTACACGTTCGTCACTCGAGTTGAAGACTTGCTCGCCCTCTTTCACTGGGGAGGTCACTAGCAAGACACTAGCTGCCCCAGGGGGTATGACGTAGCGTCCCGACACCCTTGCCGTAGTACTCGCTACCTTGTCCTCTTTGGCTTGCGCTTCACTCCGTGACAGTCTTATGTCCACTCCTAAGGCCTTGAGCGCATTCGTTCCCAACAGTACCAACGACTCTGGACTGTTCTGTATGTGTAACTGAACACATGCCAACTGCGCACCGTGTAGCTCCACATCTGTCGCAATTAACTTCAGAAATGACATAGTGTTTCCTGATGCGTCGACTATCGGCCGCTTTGCGCACCAGTCCATTACCTTTACCATGCCATCCAGGTCGACTCCGTTGTTCTGAGCGTGCTTAAGAAGCCCCATCGGCACTATTGAAATAACAGATCCTGTATCGATCATTGCCTTTGCAATGATTCCAAAGATCGTGATGTTGCAAATGTATGGCTTCCCATACGCCTCCGTCATGCCATTTGACTGGGCTTCCATGCGCACTCCACAGCACCACAAAAGTTGAAAAAGCACCATCTTTTATCTTGCTGAGCGTTTGACTCGGCCCTGGCTGCTTGCGTTGCTTCGTATCCTTTGCAACCTGCTTTGGACACTTCTTAACCACGTGTCCCTCCTCACCGCAGCCATAACACTTGGGCCTACTCTCCTTACTGCGCGCACCCGCACGCACCGCCTGCTCCTTCCAGTTAGGACTTCGTTGGTCACCTCGACCATCCTTCTTCAGGATCTGCTTTCCTCCTGGTTGCGGTTGTTGGGTGCGTTCCAGTCGTAGAGCCGCCTTTCTCACAGCTTGGTAGACCTCTCCGTCTGCCCTGTCCAACTCTGTGAGCATGTGGTAGGCGTCTCTCCAGTTTGCCAAGCATTGGTACAGCTTACTGCCGAGAAGGAAGTCTCGGTCCGCTTCAGCATGCAGCTTCCTTGACAAACGCTCCATCCGATAACAGAAGTCATTTACGGTTTCAGACTCTTTCTTTTGCAAAGAGTCCCACTCTTTCAGTAGTTTTAGTCGTTCGCCTGGCGTTGACCTTGCCGCCTTTAATTCCTTGACGATACCTTCGTAAGGGCCCTCCTTGACTTCCTTCGGAAGCGTCCTATACAGCATTTTCGCCTGCCCTTCCAATAGGGTGACCAAAATGTCTCGGCGTTCCGAGTCTGTCCAAGCACTTTTAGGGTATTTGAAGTCCATCATCCTGAGAAAATCTCCCAACGAGTTTTTCCCGTTGTACTTCACTACCTCCGTTAGACACTGCGCCTTCATGATCTCTTTTAATCCCGATAGCACATCCGCAGACTGCGCCACCATATGCCCTTGGGACCCAGACTCACAAGAGCAACACTTATGTTGACTAGAAGAATCATCTAACTCACCCCTGCTTTGCGCGAGGGAAGACTGTGTCGACGATCTTCGCGATTGTCCTTCTGAGGTCGATTTCAGGGGCGCTGGATGCCCAACGCTGATCCTTTGTGATCCGTGCGAACTGCCTACAGGACTGCCCTGTAATGGTTCTCTTTTCCTTAGTATTTCCAACGACTGCTTTACATGCAACATCTCATTACCTGCAGCAGCATTCATGTGCGACGTACTCGCACGTTGCGGGCCGACGCCTCGATCCTGAAATGACTGAATTACTTCATTCAGATGTAGCACTGATTGCTGCTGTTCCCTTACTACTTCAGTAAGGTCGCCTTCGCTACACTGCAGAATTCCAGTCAGCTCTCTAAGAATCTCAGCTTGGCCACTCGCCTTAATTATAATCGCTTTTAGCTCCTCGAGCGGCAATGAAAGCTGCTGCAGAAACTCATCTGCTTCCGACTTTTGCGTCATTAGCGAAGAGCTCTCAATTTGCGCGATCGCACAATCTACCTTTTCTTGCACGCACTCTAGGATGTACGTCACTTTTGCAGTTGAGATGTTACGCACTTTTGATTTTATCGCGGCTTCACA